GAGACATACTTCTGTCTTTAAAATTACCTGTATTATCTCCCCTTGATAACTTGTCAGAAAGAACTTCCAAGTGTTACTTCAGTTGTCTCCCCTTCGTACATTTTGGGAAGGATTTCCTATCTGTTGCTAGGAATGTGTGCCCCTAAAAAGGTTTTGAGAAGGACTTTTTATTTGTTATCAGGATTGTGTTCCCAAGAACAGGTCATGAATAGGATCTTTTCATCTGTTACCTTGGTTGTCTCCCCCTTATTATAGGAAGTGCAGCAAGCACTTAATAATATTGTGTGTGATAATTCAACAAGCTTAAGCTGCCCATACAATCAACTTTAAATGGAAGTGTGGCTGAAACTTCATTACCCACAATACACTTACTGCAGCACCAAATGAGAACTGTCAAGTCTTTGAATGGATTAAAAATTATTTTGACTGACAAAATATCTTTTCAAAATTCCATGTGGAAATGAAGTTGTACTAAAAGTCTTAATTCATTTAAATGAATTTAACAAACATATACGTTAATGGTTTGAAACGCATATAACAAATATCTTGTTGAAAAGTTACAATTTCAACCATACAAGATTAGAGCATGTTTCTTCTCTGATATACCTGATTTCTGGTTTGAGCTTTGAGAACTTTCATCATTTGTCATTAACGAGAAATACATTTTCTCTTTCATGGAAGCAGCTGAAAGGTCCTGATTTTGCATAAAACCTGTGGCGTCTCCTAACTACATTAAAACTGCAACATGTGAATGTACTTTCGATAACTCTTTGAAATTAGTATGATCAAGTATTCAATTGTTTAGAAAATTTCCAGCTGTAAGACACAATGATAAGATATCGTTGGTGTGGTTTTTTTTCAGAAAAAGGCAGTTTATGTAATATTGGTGACTTTAATGACATTGTGTGGATGGTCATTCCAGTGTGTTATGTGGTGTCATTTGCTTTCATCTTTGTTTCATTTGTAATAAAATATTCTTTATAACATACAATTGTATTTTTCACAAAATATCATACTTCTAAGAATTACCAGCATGTTTGAAAAAGTGACTGTCAAGTGCTCTTAGCATGTTCCTGAATATATCTTTACCAAAGTGATTTTGGCACTGTTCCACAATATACATCGCCTTAAGGGTTTTATTTAACCTTAACCTTTACAAAGAGATGAAATTGTAATCAACCTTTTAGCCAGTCAATGTGAACAAGTGTCACAATGATTGATATTCTTAGATATATGGTTTGCACCTCCTAGACGTATAGTTATTTGACCAGCAGGCCTCCAGAGCAATCAACAAGGTCTCATTGTCTGATCCACAGTTTACAGATAGGAAATTCACAAACAGTTTCAGCCACAAGCAATACTATGCAATAACTTCTTCATCATGTAACAGAACAATGTATCTGCCAACTAAGACTGTCCATCCATTAAACACTTCTCCAGGAAAAATGCCAAGAGAGATATACAGTTATAGTCCTATATGTAACTTAATCATGACGGTATCCTATAAAATATTTGGTTAATTTCTAGCTGATTGTAACATTGTTTTCAGGATGATCTGTACTTATATATGAATGCATTGATCATATATATATATAGTATTGAGTTATGCTGTTCTCTGAAATTATTGCTGCGACTTGTTTTAGGAGTCAAAGCAGTAATGAAAATAATCCTGCCTTGACATGGCCTTGAAATCTGGTGACCTTTACTACTTCTCGCTTTATAAACAAACAAGGTTTATGATGTTCCCAATCAGTTGAAGGTAAGAAGAACTATACAGTGGACTTTTCAATATTGTAGCAGTTAAATTTCCTCAGCCAATCAAAAAGTGCAGGTCTAGGGAGATATATGTTTGTTTAAAATAGTTGTAATATGTGATACACTGTAGTTCCAAGAAAATCAAATGGATTTGTTTTAATACTGCGTCAGGCAGGTGCTCTCTAAATCTGTACTACTACCACTAGTTAATGGCAAACTACAGTGATATTGAGAGAGATAACATTCGAACAAAAGGAGGAATATAATGGACGAGTAAACGGAAGGGAAACTATAAAAAATATTATAAGGGAAGTTGAATGGACAGGTTTCCACTTTACACTGTGTCTATAGTCATTTTACCAAGGTTCCTGTATTTTTTTTTATATATATCTGTATATTTATATCTGTATGCTCTTGTGAATGAAATGGATTTTCTATGTAAATACTTGAGCATAAACTGACTTAATTTTAAATTATTCAATGAGTTGTTCAGGATTTTTTAAGTTCAGTGGAAGACATTTTAAAGAATTGATTACCATGAACTGTCACACAGATACATATTATTGATTGCTTACATTATGTGCATTTCAAATGAATTTAAGTTAAAAAGCTAGGTATGTTGAGCTTTTAACATTTTCAATTAAATCTTAAAGAAACATTTTGGCAGATGTTCAATTTTTCCTGTTTAAAAGAATTATGTACAGTAGAAAATACAAAAATCCTTGATAAAGAATTCGGTGGTTTTAAAACGTTTTCAAAGACAGCTGTACATATATACTCTGTTTGACCTTACAATCTCTGACAGAGGATCCTTTGGGGTTTCTTTGGTGACATTAAGCGCCTCATTCCTGAACAGATTTTTTCATCAATATATAGAAAACTAAATTTCATTGCGAAAAAAAAAAGATTAATGAGATTGCTATTATTGTGATTAGTAATTTCTAATACTTGGGATTTGTATCTGAGTAAGATATTTCTCGAGGGGTTGTTTTATGAAATTTCAAGAGAAAAGCTCAGATAATGCAATTTATTAAATATTCCATACGATGATCATTTTTTTATACAATCAAATAATATGATCCAGACATGGTATCCATTTTCTTGTTGGCACAAAGGATTTTTTTCATTTTGCTAATTAGTTGATGAAGAATAATGGTAACCTCCAGCAAACTAAATATCTTTTCATTTTGTAATGCCCACTGGTTTGTGATACCAAATTAACCCTGTGGCATCATAGGCAAAAGCTCAACAGTTGAAATGTCTAGCTGTTTACTGAACTAGCAGGTATAATTTCCTGCTATAAACTGAACCAGCATGTGAACTGTCCTGCTGTTAACTGAACCAGCAGGTGAACTGTCCTGCTGTAAACTGAACCAGAAGGAGAACTATCCTGCTGTAAACTGAACCAGCAGATGAACTGTCCTGCAGTAAACTGAACCAGCAGGTGAACTGTCCTGCTGTAAACTGAACCAGCAGGTGAACTGTCCTGCTGTAAACTGATCCAGCAGGTGAACTGTCCTGCTGTAAACTGAACCAGCAGGTGAACTGTCCTGCTGTAAACTGATCCAGCAGGTGATCTGTCCTGCTGTAAACTGATCCAGCAGGTGAACTGTCCTGCTGTAAACTGATCCAGCAGGTGAACTGTCCTGCTGTAAACTGATCCAGCAGGTTAACTGTCCTTCTGTAAACTGAACCAGCAGGTGAAGTGTCCTGCTGTAACCTTAACCAGCAGGTGAACTGTCCTGCTGTAAACTGAACCAGCAGGTGAACTGTCCTGCTGTAAACTGATCCAGCAGGTGAACTGTCCTGCTGTAATCTGAACCAGCAGGTGAACTGTCGTACTGTAAACTGAACCAGCAGGTGAACTGTCCTGCTGTAACCTTAACCAGCAGGTGAACTGTCCTGCTGTTAACTGATCCAGCAGGTGAACTGTCCTGCTGTAAACTGATCCAGCAGGTGAACTGTCCTGCTGTAACCTGAACCAGCAGGTGAACTGTCCTGCTGTAAACTTAACCAGCAAGAGTCATGATATCACAAAATTTGTTTGTGATGAATAAGAAGGGCTATGAATGATGAATCTGCCAGTCAATACAAACACTGTGATGATCCAGATTCAGTAGCATTGTCTTAATGAAGTTCTACTCCTTGGTTGAAGTGCAATCTTAAATTTGTTTTTCGATTTCCTTAAAGCTTGCTTGGATCTGAACTAGACATCAGTGAGGCTAGCAGCACTATTGTGTAACAAAATTGCATTCATCCATCCTGGTTAGCTAGAAATGGATGCCTATGTACTTTCTTTGTATTTGTTTTTGTAGCAGTACACAAGAAGCCTTTTAAGGATATCTGGGTTTGATATAAATTTATTAAGAAGACATTGAGAATTCTCTATGCATTCAACGACTTTTTAAAATTGTAATATTTTACAGACAAATTTGTTGGTGTCTGGTTGTGGAGATTGTTTTGTTGATCTAATGATATGAATATTTATACAAATCCTCACCTCATAAATCACCAGATAGCTCAGATCTCTCTCATTAGTATTAAAAATCAGTCTTATAATGGAGGACAACAAGACTTACCATCACAGATTCACAAATATCATGTTTATTCAAATGTCGACCATTGTGTGGTGCTGATCCTTTATCATGTCACCCTAGGATTCTTTCCCCTTTGTAAACCCCCATTTTGCAGACTATTTCCATAATTTATCAATTTACAAACAATATTGCAGCTTTAGAAATGATTAATGCATGCGTTAGGCACACGGTTATAATCTGTGTACTACATTGTTTTGAGCTGAATACGTAAGAGACATTTGGGGTTTAGATTTTTTTGTGAGGAATTAAAGATAAAAGGATTTATTTCTTGTTTTATGAGCAAGTCCAGAATGAAAATCAATATGAAAGAACTTAGTTAATTTGAAAACACAAGGAGTTTTATTTGCTTCCACATTGGGCCATAGTCAAACTGTTCTTAAATAAGACGATATAAAAGGATTGTTCAAAGTTTTAAAACTGCAATGTGAATGTCATTGACATTTTATCAAATTTTCATTTATCTAATACAGTTATTTTTCAATATATTGATAATGAGGCCACTAAAGACGTGACATTGGTCATACAAAGGTAGTAATGATGAGTATTCTTGTACTGGCTCTGTCAATAGGACAATATTGAAGGTGAATATTTAAATCTGTGTTTAACATTTCAGGTAGCAGCTTGATGAAGACAGTGACGATGGACACCATGTTGCTACTACAGACCTTGGTGTGTGCAGGGTGTTTGATTCAGATGGTCAGTGCTATGCATATAGTTCACACGTTCAGAGATTTACACAAGGATACCACTTTACAAAACTTAAAAGCCAACAAAAATTCTGGTGATGTATTTGTTGGTGCCACAAATTCATTGTATCATTTTGCTGCAGATCTAAGATCATTTCAAAAGGTTGCCATGGGACCAAGGGTTGACAACCCACACTGTCCACCCCCCAATTTACCGTGTAACGACACAAAAAAATCCACCAACAGTTTCTCAGAAGGAATAGCCATTGATTACAAGGATAGTACTCTAATATCATGCATCAGTCTGTTTCATGGAATATGTCAAATTCGTCAATTACAAAACATTTCTTTGATTGTGAAGGAATTACTTAAGCCATCCGTCCCGAATAACCCAGTGAAGTCTAGTCTTATTTTCATTGGTCCGGGTCTCGAGAATCAGAATGCCTTGTACATCGGTGCAGCCTACAGTAACCTAGGAAACCAGAAATATCGTGCAATGGTTCCTCACATTAGTAGCAGAAATCTGTCGACACTCGAGTTTTCCTATCTTGATTCATCAGGTGGGACCAGGGTCAGTATTCTACCTGAAGCCAGACTGGATATCCCTGTTGAATTTCTGTACGGCTTTTCTTATGGAGGCTTTGTATACTTCATAGCCCGCCAATATAAGTCCGTCATTGAGTACATGTTTGTTACCAAAATAATTCGAATTTGTCAGCAGGATAAATATTTTAGTTCCTATACGGAAATTGAACTTACTTGCCAGCCTCATTATGACTTCGCTAGAGGTGCGTACTTTGATGAATCATCAGAGAAACTATACATAGTGTTTGAGAATAATGAGTTTGATATGGATGGACCATCAGCTGTATGTGGATACAACATGGCAGAAACTGAACGTCTCTTTAACCTTACTGTAGAAGAATGCTTCAATGGCGATGGAAACCTTGGACCATCTCACATCCGAGAATCAGTTCCTTGTCCTCCGAAGGTAAGTGCTTGACAGATATAAACCAGAAATGTGTCAAAATTATAAACTTGTTAAATTACCACTATGGGATCGACATATTTTCAGATTTTTATTCCAGACAGGAAATAAGTATGATATGTATACATGATGAATGATCACCACAAGACCTCTGAATAGATATTTATATCCAGGGTCAACATCGGTAATGCTGTAGTGAATATGGAGTTAAGGGTGTGGAAAAGATCAGAGATAAGCATTATGGTACATAGAGGTGACAACAACTTATAAGGATATTATTGTACCTAGGAATAAAGACTCGGCTACTGGTAGTATTATTGAACCTAGGAATAAAGACTGTTCTTAGAAATATAGGTCAGGGGTGATACCATTATTGTATATCAAGGTGAAGGTCAGGAGTGTTAGTATTACTGTTCTTAGAAATATAGGTCAGGGGTGATACCATTATTGTATATCAAGGTGAAAGCCAGGAGTAATAAAGGCTCAGGGCGAAACCCTCACTGCTCTTTGAAATAAAGTTCAGGAATGATAACACATTACGGTACAGTACTTAGTGGTGAAGTTATTGGATGGAAACATTACTACACTATAGGTCAGGGATGATAGTATTACTGTTCTTAGAAATATAGGTCAAGGGGTGATACTATTATTGTACATCGAAGTGAAGGTCAGGGCTGACACCATTATTAAATTCAGAGGTAAAGGTTAAGGTGATAGAATGACTGTGTCTATAAATGAAAGTCAGACATGATACAAGGTAATGTTACTGTTAAGTGAAAAGCACCTTGTAATACAAATTAATTTAGAGTTAGATGAAGTAAAGCCAAGCTATGAATTATAATGCATCATACAGTTGCTTTGTCCTTCTAGGACTCATCAGTGATGCTAAGGGCCTAAGTTTCAAAGCCTAGAAAATGACTGAGGAAAATCTGAATTAATCATAAGAAAATCAAAATCTAGAAAGGGATACACAATAGTCCCATAACTCAACACGATGATAATGTTGTTGATGGTGAAGGTCAAACATGATAATGTTAATAGATGTGAAGGTCAGACATGATAATGTTGTTGATGGTGAAGGTCAAACATGATAATGTTAATAGATGTGAAGGTCAAACATAATAATGTGAATAGATGTGAAGGTCAAACATGATAATGTTAATAGATGTGAAGGTCAGACATGATAATGTTGTTGATGGTGAAGGTCAAACATGATAATGTTAATAGATGTGAAGGTCAAACATGATAATGTGAATAGATGTGAAGGTCAGACATGATAATGTTAATAGATGTGAAGGTCAAACATGATAATGTTAATAGATGTGAAGGTCAAACATGATAATGTTAATAGATGTGAAGGTCAAACATGATAATGTTAATAGATCTGAAGGTCAGACATGATGATGTTAATAGATCTGAAGGTCAGACATGATGATTTTAATAGATGTGAAGGTCAGACATGATAATGTTAATAGATGTGAAGGTCAGACATGATGATGTTAATAGATGTGAAGGTCAGACATGATGATGTTAATAGATGTGAAGGTCAGACATGATGATGTTAATAGATGTGAAGGTCAGACATGATGATGTTGTTGATGGTGAAGGTCAAACATGATAATGTTAATAGATGTGAAGGTCAAACATGATAATGTGAATAGATGTGAAGGTCAGACATGATGATGTTAATAGATGTTAAGGTCAGACATGATGATGTTAATAGATGTGAAGGTCAGACAAGATGATGTTATAGATGTGAAGGTCAGACATGATGATGTTAATAGATGTGAAGGTCAGACAAGATGATGTTAATAGATGTGAAGGTCAGACATGATGATGTTAATAGATGTGAAGGTCAGATATGATGATGTTAATAGATGTGAAGGTCAGACATGATGATGTTAATAGATGTGAAGGTCAGACATGATGATGTTGTTGATGGTGAAGGTCAAACATGATAATGTTAATAGATGTGAAGGTCAAACATGATAATGTGAATAGATGTGAAGGTCAGACATGATGATGTTAATAGATGTGAAGGTCAGACATGATGATGTTAATAGATGTGAAGGTCAGACAAGATGATGTTATAGATGTGAAGGTCAGACATGATGATGTTAATAGATGTGAAGGTCAGACAAGATGATGTTAATAGATGTGAAGGTCAGACATGATGATGTTAATAGATGTGAAGGTCAGACATGATGATGTTAATAGATGTGAAGGTCAGACATGATGATGTTCTTGATGTGAAGGTCAGACAAGATGATGTTGAGGTAATGATCTGGTAGATAATGTTATTTTTCCTCAAATTTGAAGTCACATTTCTAAAGGGGTGATATCACCCTTGTACGGAATGAAATAATATGAATGGGGAAAAGGAAGGTGTGTTTTATCAGAGACCAAATTAAGGCTACAGACAATTTGATTGTGTTGTGTCTATACTCCAATCAGACTGGTGTTCCCTGTCAGAAGCCTTTCCATCTGTCTGTCTCTCATTCAGCTGTAATAATGTTACACAAATTACAAATGATCAAGTCTTTATCAGTAAATGGACAAGTGGTTTCCAGTCAGGAGAGGGTTGATAAGGGAAAGAAGTCAATGTGCTGACGGATCCAGCCAATTATAGATATTGAGTAGCAGAATGAAGGCTAATGTTATAGGATCAGCTGATAGGGGGAGTGGCAGGTAGTAGGTACATCACACTTACTGGTAAACAATAGCATCATCTGTTCTCAACCACATCTCTACTGCTTCAAGTTTATTATTAATACTGATAAGTGTACCGCTGATAAAACTGTGTGCTTGGTACAGTATTACAGTAAAATGGTTTTGATGTATGCAAATGCAATACAATTTACAACAAAAACACTTTCCTTTTTCCAGAGAAAGTAAACTCTGATCTTGTACTGGAACCATGACAATCATTTGTTTCATATACGTAATGTCAACGTTGTTGTTTTTGTGTGGCTCCAATTTTCACGATTTTGAAGATGATGTTTAAACTTCAAATATATAGTTCCAGTAAAAATTTAGTTCAATGTAGATATCATATTTACAATACTGATGGATTTTATGTTCCATTTGTGTACTGATGCAGGGAGCTTTCCATGTAGGGTAAAGATATTGATAATGTGGAATCATACAGCCTCCATTGTTATACCAGGTATTTCTGGAAATAAATAGCTCAAAAAATTGATTTCTTGAACTGTACAGTGTACTGATTGTGTACATGTTGATGGTATCTTTGGCACTGTACAGTGTACTTACTCATTGTGTACATACACAATGTGCTGGATCACAAATGGCTACATTCAGAAAAAAGGTCTTGTCTAAGTGTACAATTTACATAGAAAATTAAAACAGTTAAATCCATTGTATATAGTCATTAAGTTAACCAAATTACTCAACTTCCTAACCGGATCATGTATAGCAAAACTTTTCTTAACTTATTGAGCGAGCAGGAAGTACAGTTTTTTGAATTTGAAATGGCACACAGGGTATATTTTTTAAAGAAATGACAATTTCATGGCCATTGAAACTTCAGCCAATATTAATTTGTGGAAGCTAAGTAACTGGAGTGCAGACAACTCACTGATCATTGGTTTACCACTAATGCAGTAAGATCGCTATTCTCAATTTTCTGCCCCATTTCACCAGGTTTTTTAATGGCCAGCAGTGTTCTGAAACAGACACAAATTCTGTTCCTTATTTAAACATGTAACCATATTGGTTATCTATCAAAGTTTCCCAATTACCAACAGTTTTTTGTCAGAAGTTTTTGAAGGTGATTTTTTTTTAAAAATTCATCTGTAATTGATTTGCTCCTCATAATTCTATAATTTTAACCTTGTCTTTTGAAATCTTTAAATAGTTACAGTTAACAGCTTGAAGCAAGATACATGCTATTTTGAGGTTGTCTTGTTAAGGACAAAGGTCATTTAGGGTCATTTTCTGCTCCTTGTTATACATGCAGTTAATTTGACTCAGCATTAGACAAATACAACTGGATGTAAAGAGATCTGATATAGAAGTGTGGGGTAAAATGCCAGGAACTGTTTGTGTACATCTGGAAACCTACATCATGGACAATAACATTACTATCCTGGTTGTGTCCTTTGGCAGTACTCTTTGTCCTAAGTGCTCTGATATCATGTGATGGGCCTTCAGCATCATGTTTAATGAAGTGATTACCATCAGCTACTTCAAGAAATCCCACTTTAATTCATGGTTTGATAAACCCAACAAACAGATCAGAAGTCAACAAAAATTGGGTTGGTTTAACAATAAAAATAGATGTCTTTCCAGTAAACAAATATGGCTGTCTGTCACGTTTGTTGTCAACATATTGATATAATAGATAATGTAATATTAAAATGCTGTAACATTAAAGCAGAACAAATTTATTGTAAAACATGTAATATGTCTCAAAAATCATTATTATCACTATCACAAATACTTTATATACTATCACAAGATTACCAAGGTTTGTCAATGTCATCTGCTAGATTACACGGTTAGACGTCTTTCTGACGGCCGACACATGAAATCCATCGCAAAAAAAATGCCTGCATGATTGTTTTCATTTACTGTCATGAGCAACTTCCATTTTCTTCCATTTAAGATACAAATGGTTATATTTCTGAAAATAGCATCAATCCACTCCATGCCACGAAAACATTGATATGCCACTTAGTGAAAATCCAGCTGATTGAGAGGCACATCACTTGTTGGTGAGGCATTAATGCACGATAAACTGCACAAGATATAAGATATCATATTTAATGTATTGTGTGATAGTTTACACTTTCATATTTCATAACCAAATTTAATTTGTGATCACACTGTTTCACGTGATTGATGTTTATAATGATACAAGGAACTAAAGGCTAGAATATTATGTTTTTTGATTTAGGCAGTTCTTTGATATAAACTTTCTGATGCTTGGGTAAACGAAAACTTCAAATGCAGGTTTTGTTTCAGATGAAGAAAATTGTATATGAATGTAAATATAA